TATTTATATTCAGATTGTAATTTATACAGTATATACATGTGCAGATTGTAATAACTATAGTTGCATTAATTTGTTATCGCTATTGCTGTATTTATATGTGGAGTGTAATCTCTAGGGTTGTATTTGTATGCAGAATATAATGGTGTGGTTTTATTCATATGCAGTGAAATTGTTACAGTTGTATTTGTTTACAGACTGTAAATGCTATAATTGTACTTATATACAGAGCGTTCAATCGCTAGTACTAATTTGCAGAGAGTGTGATTGCAGTGTGTAACAGAGTGTAACATAGTGTACTCAGTATGGTTGTATTCACATACAGAGGGTTATAGCCGGATTTGTATTTATATGCAGATTGTAAATCACTACATTTGTATTTATGTGGGCAATGCAATATATAAATGAAGAAACTAGAGCATTATCGGTTATTCAAGCACGAGCAATCTTTGCAAAACTGCCAATGTTCTAATATTGTCTGCAATTGTTCACTGATATTGGAGAAAATATTTTTTTTGAATTTTTCAATAGCTTTCGATTCCGTTCACTACAAGGCATTAACAATTATTAAGTCAATGCACATCATTTATCAAAGTTGATTAATTATTAAGGAAATTAATGAATATTTTATTAGCAACATGGGTGTTAACAAGGAACGATTTTAAGTTCAGTTCTTTTCGTATTTATTCAATTAATGTATTCGAATGTTGTATTGTATTGAAGGTAAATTTAGAGAAAATTGAGCTCGTATGTTCCGAAACGGGAGACAACATTTAGGAAAGAAATGATGATTTATAAATAGTGAAAGTATTGAAACTGTAAATTCGCACAAACTACGTATAAATACCGAAATAGAGGTCAGCTATAGCCAGAGCATTTTTTTCTTGTTTCAGATTATAATGTATGTACTGGCGCGACAAGTTCTTGTAATGAAATTGAAGACGAATCCAGCTTGTTATTCGTTATACCTCTTTTCAAATCTATAATGACAGCTTTGAGACCAAATTTTTATTTATGATTTCCTTAATATATTTTAATGAAATGCGAGTCGAAAACAGTATATATTTAAAGCAAGTACTCTCAGTGATGAGGCTATTATGTTCTCTGGTTAACCTGTATTGTATTATGTATAAATACGCACATATATATGAATTTATCATAAACTATTTGTGTTCTATATCTATTCAAAATTTAATTTTATTTACCTTTGCTACCATACACTGTGAAACTCATACATTTGTAATGTAAAGTCACGTATGCCGGTAGCCCACTAATGACGTGATATTATTATTATTATTTTTATTATTTTTATTATTATTATTATTATTATTATTATTATTATTATTATTATTATTATTATTATTATTATTATTATTATTATTATTATTATTATTATTAAGTATTAACTTGTGAAACGTATAGTCAAACTTGCACTTTGGTTAAGACAGAAAAGTTTCAATTTAGAGGTTTATTTTTAACTATTTAAAAAGTTGGAATGGGTGATATTCAATCCACATGAACAACCACATTATGTAGAGAATTTAACGAATGGGCGTCTGATAGATTTATTTGAAGGTTTTTCTTGAAATATCAAATGACATGCATTAAATTATTGATGTGCTATAAACATAGAGTACGTTATACATTTTGAACTGTGTGTAGTGGTGATCAGCACAAATTATTATAAACATACTTTGTGAGTTGAAAAGACACTTTACCCAGCTGTAGCATTTACAGTCAGAAACAGAATTTCATATTTGTGATAATCTTTGACTGCTGATTTTGCAAGAAATGAGCACACCTACACATAGTACATGCTCGACGAAATAACAGGGAAATCTTTTTGATTTTTGATTTTTTTCTGGCTTTGTTACGTACCGTTTACCTGGCACATTGAGAGTGATAAAGTATGAAAGCCGACCGCTGAAATAAAAAAAAAAACTTGTAGAGTTTTAGCCAATAATACCGTAATATACACTAATCTTCAGCTAGCTACACAAACAAGTCTTCTACTACCAGGAGCCGCACGGAATAATCAAATTCCGTACGGTATAAAGCCAACTTCCTGCTTAAATATTATTATCCGTACACAATGCCTTTATCTGCATAATTAACGGAAATATTTGAACTACATGCTCCTCAATAGAAACTAGAGATTATAATTTATTTGTGAAAAAGGAGATTATCTGCCAATTAACTTTCTACAATTGTGTTTGTATAGCACGATGTATGGTCATTTGTGTAGAACGAACGAGATGTGTTTTTCATTTCGTTTCGTCTGGAAATTAGATACACATACACTCCAATACA